CAATGCAGCCAAATCAGTAAAGCGTGATTAAAAACAAACTAACAAACAAAACTAATGTGTTGTTTTTGTTTTTTTAATTCACCTAATACTTCATTAATTTTTACCAGATTTTTGGTTTATATTTCTTATACCTTGCATTCTCTCTGCTCTTCCATTCTGGTATTAAAAAATCCTGATTCTTAAAACAACAGCCTTCAGTTCTGGAGCATGTGAAACTACAGCTCAGCAGAACAAAATGCCTCGCCCTGCACTTACGCAAACACCCCATCTGACAGCTTTAAATGGTCCAGAATCTGGCTTACCAGGAGGTGAAGAGAGTGTTATCACCATGACTGATGGCTATCTTTTCACAGCTTCTATTCGGTCTTCTCTTCTGTATTTAATAGCCACTCAAGTTTAAATTCTCCCAATGGAGAACAGCCCTTTATTTGAAGTCTGAAGTCTCTATTCCATTAAAATCAAGATACAGCTTCTGACCCACCTGTGGGTTTCAAATTAGGGATACTTGCACTGAGTTGACATAAAGTCCCAGGTTGGCAAAACGAGCTATGAGCCAGAATCCCAAGATACATGCACGTGCTGAAATATACCATTAGTCTGCTCCCCCACGGTTCCTGCCATTGGGAAACATGCATATGACAAGTACAGCTTTGTCTGGGGTCTTAGTCAATCAAATAAGTGCAAGAATAGCAAAGGAGTTGATGAGTCCCGTTCTCTAGTTCTGTAGTTCACTTCAGTTATCCCCACACTGATCAGCTTACACCTTCTCAGCAAATAAAACAGTTAGAATGCAACCATGGGGGTAACTTGAAATACACTTACTGAGCCAAGATAGCAGAACTGTGCCAAGTGCATCCCCAGGTTCTACACACCATGTAAGAGATCAGCTTCACCCAACGTTGTACAACACAGGCATCTAAAAAATCTGCAACTCTGAGCCGCTGTAAAACCACAGCAGCATCCATGGGATTGACAATAAATCCATTTATGGAACACCATTCTTGCTCTCAGATCACAGTTTGATTTTCCAAATTTGTTCTCATTTCCAGAGCTGACAGCATTTTAACATCAACAAGCATACATACAAGGCTGCTCAAATTAGAAACAATTCATGTGAAATTGCTATGCAGAGAGAACAGCAAGTTTCAGCTGCAGGAAAGCTCCATAGATGTGTAAGCATCGTTCAGTGAGAAACAGGGCTTTAAACTTTCACAGTTTCTGAATAGCAATCTCCTGGCATCTCTTCTCCAAAGAGCGCTAAGAAAGGTAAATATTAACTTTTCCTATGCCCCAGTTCTGACCTACTGCTGATTATTCCCCCTCCAAAAGTGACATGTTAAAAACTTACACATTAATATTGTTTGTTTTTTAGTTTAAACACAGGCTTTCGAGCCCGGCTGGAAACTTGTTCACCACCTATATGTCACACGAAGAATCACTTTTCAACACCAATGGCAGGCTCAGAAATCCCAGTTTGAACTGAGAGCTTTAAAGTGTTCCTCATACCTTTGAGCTTATTTGAACATTTGAATCACAAAACCATCGCTGCATTACTAGGTTAAATACACACTGCACACAAACAGCTACTCACTATTCCCCTTCTCCATCACTTAACAGAAACTGAGTGCACACCTCCTTCGGAAGCCAGTGTATAATTTAACACCATGTTTGTGATTTCAGTTGATTTTCTTAAAATCATATGAAAAGAAGGATGATTGCCCATGTATTTTCTCCCATGACAGCCAGTGAAAAAACAACTTATCCCTCCAGTAATTGCCACGTGCACAAAAGCAATATGCCACAAAAATGCCTGCTCACAAGCACAAACAGACAACAAAGTCCTATTTCATGCATACACCAGGGTCTGTTTGTTCTTCACTGTTACATCCCTTGTCACTGGAATTCCTTCCACACACGCATCTGCTGCCCTTTGTTATAAAATGTGAGGTTGATGGAGCCAAAATAGCACAACAGAATTTTGTTTCTGCAATTTATAGCAAAATAAAAGACAGATGGAACGCAATTACACTTTTTGTCACTTTCTATTCTCCGGCACCTTACATAAATAACCATTAGCATGAGTGTCCACCGAATCTCCGAAGAAAAAGGACTTCTGATTTCATTTACTTCTTGAAGTCACCACAACTTACCAGAACAGAGACCTCCTCTCTGTAAACAAAGTCCCTGCAGCCCCTATGTTCAAAATCCTACACCACTTCTCCGCACTTATCAGCACCAAAAACCACTCCATATGGAAGGCACATTATTTGCTCTTTTACCTTTTTTGCCTCTAAAACCCAGTAGCTTCTGCTTTTCCATGCTTCTTACCCACAAAGAAGTTCTCCACCTGCACAACAGCCACCAGGTCAGACACATCAGTAACCACCAGCATCAGTAACTAATGGCTCGTTACCAAGAAATAGACCTCATAACATGGAGAGATGACTTTCCATAATGTTACCAGCATGACATCATTGAATGTAGGTCCTAGCTTGCAGCACTCTTTAAAAAGGTCTTAAAAAATCATTCACAACGTCGTTTCAGAAAAATGCATATAAGAGTATTCAAATAAAAACAATATTTATGATTTGATTGATTGTATGCAGTACCCTGGCAGTAGTATCATGGTGGTTTATTTCTATTCCAGATTGGAATTTACTATAAGAAGTTCCATAGCTAGGAAACTAATTCTTCAACATTGATTTCCATGGCACTGCTTAGAAAGACTCCAGAAGAATAATGTGAATGTCAGGGCATTTTATCTAGCAGCAGCAACATTCTGCAAGGAGTCTGGGCAGAGGATTTGCTCCGGGTTATTTTGAGTACTATCTGCAATATTCTACCAAAATGAGCAGGGCATCCGTACAGTGAGATGTGGTGAGATTCTGAATAGTCAGAGTGACACCAAGGAACACTCAGCAGAGTGACACCACACAGTAAGAACAGCCCAGTTACTTGGGTGCCCCATGCATCATTTTGTCAGTGTGCTGTGTAATGGTTTCAAAGGTAGAAAATTAAATCTTACATAAAAATAATAAACCTGACCTGAACCAACAATGCAAGCCAGGAAATTGAGCAAAGGCTTCAGCGTCAGGACCACTACACAGTCCTCCCAAAAGAACATCTCGGTATGCCTTAATGTCTCTCTTAGAGACAGAGGACAATACCTCTTTGGATCACTTCCTTAATTGTCCAGCATGAGATCAGATCATCCAAGAGCCATTCTAAATGCAATGCACACACAATCCCTGAAAGAGCATCTTGGAAGGAAGAAACGTCTTTATTGACACGTGTTCTCACGTGTACAAATATTCTGTACACATACAAATATTCTGTATTGAATAGACTAAAAATCTGACTGGGGTCCCTTCTGTGGCTTCAACGTGGATTTTCAACAGAGATCGTCTGTTTTGATAGCAGTCTTTTTAAACGCAATACTAATCTTCAAGATTAGCAAACAGAGCAGTAGCATCAACAACAAAAACTCTTACTAGATAAAGAAGAATGCTCCAGTTGATCACGCTGCCTGCCCTCAACAAAACTGAGCAAAGAGTCTGGCAACAAGAATGTCAGCCCAAATGCAATGTATTCAGACAAGTTGCACGAAGTTTTACTCTAAGAAGAGACACTGTAGCAAGCAATTGTTCAACTACTGTCACTGCCAGAGAGTTGAACAAGCTCCAGTACAGAACACCGAGCTTCTGCAAAAGATAAGAAGATCCAATTGCTCAGGGTTAACCTGTGCCAATAAATGAATTCTCTGGTGTCTGACCACATGCATGGAGTATAGTTCTAAAATCTCCTTCTTTTTCAAAAACAGTTTTATTTTCATGCCTCCTTGCTAAGCTTTCAGAGCAATAGAAGGAACCCCATTAATGGGAAAGGTCCCTTGAAAAGGTATACTTTGCTGTTTCTCTTGAATGTGCACATTAACTAGGACCCACACTAGAGAGAAAAGACAGCAGAAGAAATTGTTTAGAGTTCATGAAAATTAACATTTGGTGTAATTTTGTAGCTATAATTTGCATGTACACAAGTTACATAAAAATACATATGGATTAATGCAAATTTTCACACAGAGAAAGATTCACTCTGTGCTCTGCAGAACTAAGGGCAAGGCTGGTGATGAATCATTTTTTTTTAATATTCTAGATTGGGTATATAAATAGCTCTCTGTTTCTAGAATAATTACTACTGGAAAACACAGCTTCTGAAATAATATAGGCCATAATTAACCTCGGCTTCATTAAATCAGAAATAATATATTTTTCAAGTCTTATTTGTAAAGGCAAGCTGATTAATTTAAACGTTTCCTTTTGGAGAAAAAAAAAAAAAAACAAAAAAAAAAAACAACAAAAAAAAACACCTAATTGAAATGAATTACCTACGTTACTACTTGTCAGATCTCCTGAACTCTGGAAAGCTTCAGCCGGTGCCTGGCTACCTGACAGACTGCCTGCCCCGCTGCAAGGCGAGGGCTCGCTCCCCTCTCAAGAAGCTCCGCGCTGTCCCGCCGCCTGCCCACCTTCGCTCTCCCGGGTGGCTGCGGAGAGCGTCGCTCCGGGCCAGGCACTGCCTTCTGCCCCGCCGATCCCCCATCCTCCCGCCCGCTCCGGCCTCTCGGTGCCGGCCGAGCCCCGCAGGGCGGGGCTCGTTCTTCTGCCCTGCCCACGCGAGGGCTCCAGTGCGGGCCGCAGCAACGGAGAGTTGGGGCGCCTGCGGACTCGGGAGCGACGTGGAGCCCCCGGCCCTATCAGCTCTGCCGCTGCTGCCCCCCGCCCAGGCTGGGCTGCCCCTGCGCGGCGCAGCGCTGCGCTGCATGGCACGGCACAGCGCCTAGCCGGCGCACCGCACCGTCCCTTCTCTTTCCTTGTAAGACAGCGCCAACCCCCGACCGAAGAAAAGTTTCCAAGCGAGCCGCAGGACCGAGACTCCCTCCCCGCTAACAGGACGGACCCTTCTCTCCCCGCCCGCCTGCGCCGTGCTGCCCCGGGGCTCACCTTCCTGCACAGCATGGAAGGGGTTGTTGGCCTCTATGAGCTTGATGGAGTAAGTGATTTTCTCGCTCTGGAGGATGTCGTCATTGAGGTTCAGATCCGACACCGCCTGCTTGAACACCTCGTCGTCCTTGGCAGCATTGCCCTCAAAAATGGCACCTGCGGGGAACAAGGAAGCAGAGGGCGGTGAGGGCCGTGCCCGCTGCCCGCCCGGAACTCCCCTGGCCGTAGCAGGGCCGTACCGGCTCGCAAGGTGCCAGCGGGGCTGCTCCCACGACACTGCAGGCCCGGGGAGAGTGACCGCTCCCTCGGAGACGGGATGGGAGCGGGCCTGGGAACGGGAGCGATCTGTGCTCACGGCGCACCATTTGCGGCCCTTGGGGCAGCGCTCCGGTCCGGGGCCGAACACCCACACAGACGCGAAGGCTCTGCGGCCGGTCACCTGAACGCTTCCGTTTCACTGTCCTGCTTATGCACTTAACATGAAAACATCTGGCGCCGTGCGTTACGTAAGATGCCCTGTGCCGAGCATGTGTGTGCACGCACCACTCTTAGTGCCCTACTCTAGGAGGGATGGGGATCTGTCGTGCTGGCAACCAAAGCTCTCCCTAGGCTCTGAGAAGCTCTGCCCGGTGTGTGCCGGGGCTGCCCCGCACCGCGCAGCTCCACGCACAGCGCTCTCCTGCTCGCCGGAGCGTTCTCCAGGGAGCGAGAAACGCTGCTCGGGCTGAAGTTTGCGCGGGGAGAAGCAGCGGTGACGCCGCGCCCCCACCAGAGACGCGGGGCCAGGAAACGGCGCAGCGGGGCTACCTCATTCTCCCGACTCGGGCACTTCCCCAAGGCTCTAACCCTGCGGATCGGCCTATGGGAAAGGTAGCCGGGGTCCGTCCAGCGCTGAGTAGTGCCCCGGGGCCTAAGCCGCCCTGCCCCGCTGCGGTCAGGGCTGACCCCGTCTCCTTAATGGCTCCGCAATGCTGTCTGCCTTGGCTACGTCCCCGGGCTCCGGAGGCGCGCGGCGCAGAGCGGAGCCTCCCTCAGCGGCCCGGAGCCGCCGCCGCCGGGCCCCGCTCAGCCCTTCCCTTCTCCTCCCCTCCCCTCTCCGGGCCGGCGGGGGACTTTCCACCCACAGCCGCGGAGCTCCCCAGCCAGGACTGCTCCTGCCCCCCGTCCCCCCTCCTGGTTTTCTTTCTTTCTTTTTTTTTTTTTTTTTTTTCCCTTCTCATTTCTTTTTCTCCTTTTATTCCCACCCCTCAACCCCCCTCCCAACCCCCCCCCACAAAGGGGCTGGTGGGAAGGACAGCTCTTCATTCCCCGGCCGTACTCCCGTCTCCTCCCCTACCATCTTCTACAAGTGATCCTCTCCCCCTCTCCACCTCTAAGCATCCTCATTTCTTTCCTGCTGGTACCTTCCGACACCAGCCAAGAGGTGACTGCAGAGCCTCGCTTGCGCTCGCCAGGCTTCCCGCGGACATCGCCGTGCTCTCTCCCAGAAGCCGCAAAAGTTCACATCAGCCTTTCCTTTGCCTCTAATTCATGCCCCCTCTTCCTCCCACCGCCGATCCAGCCTCCTTACTGCCCAGGGGTTTTAATGAGATCTTACTCAAACCACAACAGTTGCGCGCACAGCCACACGCACACGCGCGGAGCCGCCGCAAACCTCGCCTCTCTAACCCTTTCCCAGCCAAGTTCTCTCCTCGCGTTCCGGCTCGGCTGCCACCTGCTACGGCAGGCGACGAAGACCGAGGGATTATCTCCCCGAAAGTTTTCCCTCCGAGCACGTTCAGACGATGACTCTCTGTGCCCGGGTTCCGGGGGCGGCTGTTTGTTTTCGGCGGCGGGCAAAAAGGAGGAAAGCGTTCTCCACGCGAGCGGCTCCGAGCTCGGTTCCCGGCCCCGCGGGAGACTGCGACGGGGCGCCAGGGTGCCCCTGCCTCACAGCCCGACCCCGACGCACAGCTTGCCCTTAGCCCCCAACTTTGCATTCCGGGGGTCCGGATGCCTTTCCCCGCACCCCCCTCTTCCGGCTCTCCGCGGAGTTGGGCTCTTTGGCTGCCTGAAAGATCACAGTGGTAGAACGAGAAGATCCCTTCATTTATTTATCTACCGCGTCCCTCTCCGCCGCCCCCCCCTCCCCACCAACCCCCCGCGTTTCCTCTCTTACCGATGTGGATGATGGAGTCCGCCCGCACCGAAACGCACTGAAATATCCAGGGGAAAAGCCAGAGCATCAACACTTCCATTTCCAGCCTGTCGCACAGCACATCAGCCCGGGGTCGGCGGAGAGGCAGGCGGGGGGAAAGAAGAAAGGCGCAAGGGCAGGTGGAGCAGGCGGCGCGGGAGGGAGGGATGCCTCGACACCCCCCGTAGAAAAATAATCCCCAATTCGCACGGAACGCAGACGATTCTCCGAGATGGATGGAAGCGGACGACGCGGAGATGAGAAGAAAGACGGGGCCGAAACGGCGCGGCGGTAGATCCCGGCTTGGCAGGCGGCGCGACGGAGCCTCCAGCGCTCGGTGTGCGCCGGGGCGCCGGCAGACCGCGAACTGCGGAGCGGCCCCCCCGCCGCCGCCGCCGCCGCCCGCCCCCCGCGCCACGTGACTGCGGAGCTTCGGCGCTCGGTGCCGCCGGGGCACGGCGCGGCGGGGTGCGGGCGGTGGGCGCCCGGGCGGCGCGGAGGGGGACTTGGCGGCTCAGCGACGGAGCGGGAGGGCGCTGCGAAGCGGCGGGGGGGGGGGGGGGGGGGGACCGGCGCGAGGCACGGAGGGATACGCTGGGAATGATGTTACGTATCACACGCGTACGGCTGCCGGGCTGAGAGGGGCCGGGGCTCCGGGCGCACGGAGGAAAGCGGGGGGCGAGGGGATGCCGGCAGGTAAGGGCGCGGGGTGTGGGCCGGGCTGGAAAGCGGAGATTCCCCCCCTCCACCGCGCAGGGAGCAAAGAGGTGGGGAGAAAAGTGGTGCGGCAAAACCGCTGCTCGGTTTGGTTTGTTCTAGCTTTCAATGAAATCTAATTCATAAATCGGACGTGCTCGGACTCAGAAGACTAATTCATCCCCTAAAACAAACGCATCAGTGATTGCAGGCACCCAAACGTGACGAGCGTCTCAATACGCCAAGGATCCAGAGAAAACAAATTCATTCAGGAGCCCGAACCGCAATTAAAACCGCTGCCAAGAAGAGGAGCCGGGAGCAGGATGTTACCAACGCAGTCAAGTTGCTGGGGGGCCGGGGCGATACATACAGAGAACGTCAGCGTTCGGATAACGCGAGGCACGGCCATTCCCGGAGGTCGCCGCCTCGGCAGCGCCAGGCTGCTGCGGCCGGACCTGCCCGGGAGGGAGCGGCGTGGCGGTCGGGACGGCGGGCAACGAGCGGCGGGGCTGAGCGGAGGCGCTCCGCGCAAATGCGCTCCGCCGCCACTCGCGCTGCCGAGCAAACGCAGCCCGCTTCTACTCCGTGCGCCTCGTCCGGACCCGCCGAACGCTCCGGATACTTCGGATCTGTCGCTCGCCCGAGGGAGTGCTGCAGCGTGTTTATCTAATAGAGAAAGCACAGTACGGCAAAACGCTTAGCGCTGAGGAGCGGCAAACACAGACAGGGTTTACGGTGACTGGGGAGGCAGGCGGGGAGCGAGCGTCTGGATGGAGCTGGAAGGAGCCCTGTTGCTCCGCACGGGCGAGGGGAGGAGGGGGGAAAGCGGCGGGCGGATAAAAGGCGAAACGCTTTTCGCAAATAAATCACTCGGGTAACAGCTCTTACTTACAGTCCCTGCCCTAAATATGCGATTTCACACTGGTCGATGCAGAATGATTAAATACCATTCGGCATATTTCACGTAATAAAAACGCTTAATCCTGATAATTGGCTTCTGGGACAAAGATCAATAGAAATGTTCCTTATTTGACTACGTTAGAGAGCCAAAATTAATTCTGATCTACATTTGCTTCAAATCAATACGCACTTAGTGACTTACATGGGCTCTTCAAAAAGTTAAACACCTGTATTGACCACAGTCATATATATGTCAGTAATGAGTCCACGTGGGGGACTTATGGGGAATGGAGAGGAAGTGTTTCTGCATCCAGCTGGGAAAATAGGCTCAATTTGTGTTGGGAGCATGCTTCGGGATCCTAGCCATGAAACCTGTAGAAATACATAGCCATGAATCCTACTATTTATACGCAGGATCCCAAATGCCAGCCTGTTATACTCCCAGCACTTGGGAGCAGGCTAGCACAGTGGTCCTGACCTCAGCTGGGACTCCTCTGGCATCAGACCCAGCAGCTGAACTGCAGCTTCAGTAGCAACTCTACAAGATGGGGAGTTGTAGCATCAGAACTGTTGCACCTTGCTGTACCTCATCTAAATCGAGCCTTAGAAACTTTTTTTTCTTTTTTAATTTGGGTCACATTACCCAATCCCATTGTTACCCATTGTTACCCATTGCTCACGCTTAGCCCTTCTTTCCTTCCTTCCCTCCCTACAAAAAAGGTACCTATGTTGAATGCAGAAGCCCCATAAAAACGAGTGCTCATTTCAGTTCTGCCATTCACCACTCAGCGAGCGCTGACATTCTGTGCTTGGGTGCATGTTGTTTGGACACAGCAGTCAGCACTAAGAGGCTCATCCATTTGGCATATTATGAACGTTACAAGCTGCCACGATACTCCATCATCATGGTGCAGGGGCAGTTTGTTACACATTATTGCATAAGGCACCACTGGATTTACAGCACCCACAAAAGAAAGGCCTCCCATTCCAAATACCAAATAAATATCCAACTCAAGCAATAGTCACTATTCAAAGATCAGCTCCTTGGCAACAGATGCAATTCTATGCACATCTCTAACAGCTATATTACCTTTGCAAAGCACTGTGGTGATTTTAAGCTAACCTATCATGAGGTATCACTGTGCTCATTTCTGTTGTCAGAGTGAACGTGGAATGAAACTTGTACCAAGAGGGCTTTGCTATCAGGAGAGAATGTGTTGGACAACTTCTGTGAACTACACTGCAATTGAAAATGCTCACCTTTTTAGGCCTGCACGGTGCCATTCAGAGCTTGGCTCAGCTCTGTTCCTCCCTGCTGCATATTCTGAAAGGCAGCTCCAGAACTACAGCTGCAGAAAATGCCTGCATGGGAAAAATCCCTGATGTCTGCTGAGCGTATGCCATAGGGTGAACAAAGCTGCTCCCTAAGCAAGTGATCTGCAAGACCAGAACCTTGAGAATTTTTCTGGATCATTGCCTAAGCTTAGAACACATGGGGTGCCTTTAAGATTCACAGAATGGCCAGGGTTGGAAGAGACCTCAAGGATCATGAAGCTCCAACCCCCTGCCACATGCAGGGTCACCAACCTCCCCATTGAATACCAGACCAGGCTGCCAAGGGCCCCATCCAACCTGGCCTTGAACACCTCCAGGGACGGGGCATCCACAGCCTCTCTGGGCAGCTGTTCCAGTACTCTCACAGTAAAGAACTTCCCCCGATGACCAACCTAAATCTTCCCTCCCTCAACTTAAAACCATTTCCCATTGTCCTTGTCAACCTTGTCCATTGTCCCCTCGTCAATATTTCTCCTGTCTTTTTCTAACCACCCATCTGCTACAGCTAAGCTAAGACTTCCCCATGTAGAAGTTAGAACTTTAAGTGCTTAAAATGGGGTAAGAAGCATTAGAGGGTAATTATGGATGTTGCCTGATGAGAGGGAAAACAGAAAAAAAATAATTCAGGGTGTTTGCAGTTCAGCCAGGGGAAATAACCTTCTCTGAAGACATCCCTACAGTTTTATCAAGGACCTTTTAACTCCAGCAGAGGGAAGAAAGGGTACTTGCTGGGAGTAGGAGAGATTCTCCAGTCCCCCTTACAGCACATCCATAGTAGCCAGCGCATTTGTACTTCACTAAGGTAAAAGCTAGCTCTTTAAACATACGTATATTTCAATGTGAGTGCATGTAGCAATGATTGTTATTTCTTCTGAAAGTGAAATGAACTCCTTTCCTGTATCAGTTACACGTCAGCTGATCAGACTGCGGGGTCACAACCATTGTAAAAGATAAATGAAAAGATTCTATACACAACATAGTAATACTCAGTCTCCTTCCCCAGTAGCCAAGAGAAGATCTGTAGTTAGCACCAAAAAAGAAAAAAAAAAAAATTTAATTCAATTTTAGAGTAAGAAATTGAATAGCCCTGCTTTTCTTTGGAAACAATTAAAAAATAAAAAAAAAAAAAACTCAAATCTGTGATTGTTTGCTAAGTGTTTAGATTTCTGTGTGTGAAGTCATTTGATCATCATTCCCTTGCAGTGACAGCCCAAGATGTCAATAGATTACTGAAATTTCCTTTAGCTTACGGAAACCTTTTTTTCCTACTTTCATGGTTGAAAGCACAGTATGATAACCTTCCAGGAGTAATGGACTTGAGTGCCTGTGCAAGAACAGGCTGCTGAATTACAAAGCTCTTTGCAGATATGCTGGTTTGGTTGGGATCAAGCTAATTTTCTTCACAGTAGTTCACATGGTGCTGTGTTTTTGGATTTGCAATGACAACACGTGTGTAACACACCAACCTTTTAGCTGTGGAGGAATGCTCACACAGGGTCAAGGACTTTGTTTCTCTCTCTGACCAGCCACCAGCAGGGAGGCTTGGGGTGTACAAGGAATTGGGAGGCATCACAGCCAGGACAGCTGAGCCCAACTGACCAAAGGAATATCTCATACCAACACAGCATCATGCTCAGCAGTGAAACTGCATGGATTTGGCTGGTATTTCATAGCGCTTGCTTTTGTTTTGTACATTCCTGTTGTGTTTGGCTTTTTTTGTTTGGATTTTTTTTTTTTTTTATTGCTGTAGTTCCTTTGCTTTGTTGCTGTTTGTTGCCTCTTCCTTAATGAAATATGCCTTTACCTCAGCTCACATGTCTTCTAACTTCCCTTCCAGCTCTCTTCCCCCATCCTCTGGAGAGAAGCAAGTAAGCACTGTATGGTACTCTGCTGCCTACTGGGGTTAAACCACAACTGCAGGACAGCTGACATTCTAGATTAACTTGTGTTCCCACCAACAATCTGAAACTTTGCTACAGTCAACCCTATTTGAACTGATGTGCCTTTTAACATGCCACGAAGAAAGCAAAGCGCTATTAGCCTCAGATTTCTACTGATTTAATTCAGTAGAGTACACACACCTTATATTTGTTTTAACTCATGCTTATGTTTGCTTAATCCTATCATTCA